GGGTGTGATCCTTATTCTATCCTTCCTTCCACTGACTTTGGGCTTTGTTTATATTTCTCTTTGTGGTTCTTTTAGGTGTAAGATTAGAATGTTTATTTGAGATTTTATTTTCTGTTAATTGAGGTAGACCTGTATTGCTGTGGATTTCCTTCTTAAATTTGCTTTTGCTGTCCCGTAGATTTTTGCTCATTGTGTTTCTATTTTATTTGTCTAAAAATATCTTTTGATTTCTTCTTTGACTTCTTTGTAAACATACTGATTGTAAGCATACTGATTGTTTAGTAACATGTTGTTTAGCCTCCATGTGTTCATGTTTTTCCATTTTTCTTCTTGTAATTGATCTCTAGTTTCATAACATTGTGATCAGAGAAGATGCTTGTTATGATTTCAGTCTTCCTAAATTTATTAAGACTTGTTTTGTGGCCTAACATGTGGTCTGTCCTAGAAAAATACTCTTTGTGCACTTAAAAAGAATGCATTTTCTGCTTTTTGGGGTGGAGTGTTCTTTAATATTTATTAAGTCCATCTCCTCTAATGTGTCATTTAAGGCCACTGTTTCCTTGTTGATTTCTGTCTGGTGATTTGTCCATTGATGTAAGTGGGTTGTTAAAGTTTCCAACTTTTATTATACTACTGTTGCTCTCTATTTCTATTAATATCTCTTTTATGTATTTAGGTGTGCCAACATTGTATGCATAAATATTTACAAGAGTTATATACTCTTGTTGAATTGATCCCTTTGTCATCATGAAATGCCCCTCTTTGTCTCTTGTGATAGCCTTTGTTTGAAAGTCTTTTGTCTGGCATAAATATGGCTACCTCATATATTTTTTTTCATCGGCATGAAATACCTTTTTTCAACCCTTAACATTCAGTGTATGTGTGTGTGTCATTTGATTTGAAGTGAGTCTCTTGTAGGCAGCATATGTATGGGATTTTTTAAAATTCATTCAAGCACCTTATATCTTTTGATTGGCATATTTTGTCCATTTACATTTACAGTAATTATTATTAGTAAGCATGTAGTTATTGCCATTTTATTAATTTTTTGTTTATATTTTTTGTGGGCTTTTTTTCTGTTCCTTTCTCCTTTTCTTGCTCCCTTCTGTTGTATATTGATAACTTTCTATAAAGACTTGTTTAGATTCCTTTTTTTTATTTTTTGTGTATCTATTATAGGTTTTTAGTTTTTGATTACAAAGAGATTCATATATACCAAGCTGTGTTTATGGAAGACTAATTAAGTTTATAGTCACTTATGTTCAAACATTCTAAGAACAATACATTTTTTTACTCATCTTTCCAAATTTATGTCTTGTAATCATATTTTGCATCTCTGTGTGTCTATCTCTTAATATATTGTATTTACACAGGCTCTTACTACTTTTTTTTTTCTAACCTCCAGACTAGCTTTATAATTGTTTGATCCATGACTTATACTGTTTGCCTTTATTGGCGTAATTTTCTCCTGTGTTTTCTTATTTTTAGTTTTGAACTTTTCCACTTAAAGAATTGCCTTTAACATTTCTTGCAATACCAATTTAATTTTAATACCTCAACTTTTGCTTGTCTGAGAAACTATATCTCCTTCAATGCTGAATGATAACCTTGTGGGTTAGAATAATCTTAGTTGTAGGCTTTTCCCTTTTATCATTTTGAATATATGGTGCCATTCCCTTCTGGCCTGCAAAGTTCTGTTGAAAAGTGAGCTGATAGTTTTATGCCCCGCCTCCCTTGTATGTAACTAACTTCTTTCCTTATACCACTTTTAAGATTCTCCCTCATCTTTTTAACTTTTGCTATTTTATTTATGATGTGTCTTGGTGTGGGCTTCTTTGAGTTCATCTTTTTGGGACTCTGTATTTACTGGACTTGTAGGTCTATTTCCCTTGCCAGGGTGGGAAAGTTTTTAGTTAATATTTTTTAAAATAGGTTTTCTAGCCCTTTCTTTCTTCTCCTTTTGAGACACCTATGATGCATATGTTAACACACTTTATATTGTCCCAGAAGTCTCTTAAACGTCATTTATTTTTTTTTTTTGCTGTTCTGATTGGGTGATTTCCAGTACCTTGTCTTCTAGATCAGCAATTCATTCTTCTGCATCATGTAATCTATTTTGATTCCCTCTAGTGTATATTTTAATTTCAGTTACTGTATTCAGCTCTGATTGTTTTTTTTATATTATCTGTCTCTTTGGTGAAGCTCTCACTAAGTCATCTGTTTTTCTCCTGAGTTCATTGAGCATGTTTATAACCATTGTTTTAAACTTTGTATCTTGTAGATTGTTTATCTCCTCTTCATTTAGTTGTTGTTGTTATTATTATTATTATTATTGGAGTTTTGTCCTGTTTTTTCAGCTGGAACATATTTCTCTGTCTTCCATTTTGGCTGTTTTTTTGTTTGTTTCTATATATTAGGTAGATCCTCTACATCTCCTGGTCTTTAAAGAGTGGTCTGATGTAGAAGGTGTTCTGTGGGGCCCGGTGGCAGAGTTCCCCCTACCAGAGCTGGGTGCACCTTGGGTGTCCCATATGGATTTCACCTGCCCTTCTGTTGGAGTTGGGCTGTGATTGCTGCAGTCATGTCAGTGCATGGGGTTGACCTCAGGCTGACTGTGAGGACTGGCCACAACTGCAGATGTGTGGAGTGGAATTGGCCCCACATAGTGGGATTTGCTTTAGCAGGGTGCTGGCACCAGCTTAGGCCATTGTCAGATGCGTTGGTTGTGGAGCTGCTTTAGTTGGGCTCTGGTACAATCCAAGGATGGCCACCTGGTATGTTGGTTCAGAGTCTCTTTGAAGGGACTCTGGTGCAGGATAAGGTGGGTCTCCAGTTGTGTCGGGCTTGGGACCATTTGGTGGGAGCTATGATGTAAGCAAAGTCTGGCTGCCACTTGTGGCCATGTGGTTGGAGCTACATTGTGAGCTGAGGCCAGTGTTGCTTGTGCTGGGCTTGGGGTCACTTGGTAGGAACTACAGTGTGGCCCACAAATCATGTTATAAATATCCAACTGGCCCTTGGCAGAAAAAAGGTTCGCCACCCCTGTTCTAGTCCATGGGTGGAGAAAGCAGGGTCAAAGGCAGGATGCTGTTCCACACAGGTAGCTGGTGGCAGAGCTGAAATCAAACTCCAGACGGTTTCCACTACTTGCTCTTTAAATGTGCAATTTTTATTTGAAACAGTGTACTGTGTCCTGGGCTCAATATTAGGAGCTTGGGACACCGACATAAAGGAGACATCTTCCTCTACTACAGAAATTCAGTCTAGTTGGGGCCATCTAAGGAATGAAGTAATTGCAGAAGCACACGTGAAGTGTTATGTTTTTCTGCTGAAAAACAGAAAGGATGCCATGCTCAAGTCAACCTGTGGGGTAAGGTAGGACATGCTTCACAGAGCCAGGGGGCAGGCTCTGAAGAAAAAGACTTGGCCTGGCTGGAATATGGGAAAGAAAGATACAGAAGGACTAACATGTGCAAATGACATAGAGCACATCTGGGCAGCTGTAAGCTCAGCAGAAGTGAAGGGGCTGGGCTGGGAAGTATGTATCAAGAGGAATGCAGGCAAGGAATCCCTACCTTAGAAAGCCATTCAGGGTTGTAGATGGAGGAGTAATTTGGGATTTGAATTTCAGAAACTTCATTCTGTCTTTCACTAGAGCAATGGAGGTCAGTTAGAGGCAATTTAAAATTCTAGGGAGTCCTAATTGAGATCCAAAAGATGGTAGTGGCACTAGGAATGAGAGAGCAGCAGAAACAGACAGTTAAGAATACTGTCCAAGTTTCGCTTGGAAATCAAGATAGATATTAAGCAGCATGAAAATTAAGTTTCCTTTAGCCTGTTGCCCAACTGTCATCTGACGTGGCAATTCCTGTCAGGCACACCCTCATGCCACTGAGTACTTTCATGGTTATTGTCATCTCTCACCTCCAGCAAGTGTTTTCTAATCCTGTGGTTCCTAGATCTTAGGATATTGGAGTGGCTTGTACTGTCCTCCCCCTTTGGGTACCACATACCCTCCTGGGGCTCTTCAGACCTCACTACTTCTTGCATTTGCCTAAATAACTATTTTTATCATGTGTGCTGTTCCTAGTTGAAAAGCTCTGCTTCTGGAGTTCTTTCTTAGCAACAACAACCCAGCTCCGCTCTCAGGCTGACAAAATGCTCTTCAGCCTTGTCACTTGTCAAACTTTCCAGAAGGGATGTATCACACCCTGCTTTCTGTCCACAGACCCTAGAAGAGGCATGATGGTGGCTGAAAGGATTAAATGCTTTAATACTAAGTTCCATGCATATAGTAAGGGCCCAGTAAAAGTTCTTAAACACGATGGTAAGCTTAGAATTCCGTTACAATGTGACAAGTCATGTACAGCACTTATTATATTGGAATCACTTGCTACTGTGTATCTCCCATTAATTGTATGTGCTTTGAGGGTATAATTATCACTACTCTGCATGGGATTTTACTTTTACAACATCCTGCTATGGTTCATGATTTTTTGATTTTTTGATTTTTTATTTGTTTTTTGCCCTGATGGGAAATGAACTGGAAACCTTTTGGTGCACGTGTGGATGCCCAACCGTCACATGGGCCAGGGCTTGGTTCTTGATTTAAAAGCAGTTACTCATATTGTTTTTATCCCCATTGTTCCCTCCCCACTATATTCTGGCCAGTAACAATGATTAGAAAAATAAAGAATTAGAGAACAGAGGTTACTGTTGATTAGGAATTATCAATTATATGGTATGCTGTCCTCCAGCCTTTCCCAGATGTATATTTCTTACTTGGGAGCTTCTAATATAGCTTTGACTTCCAGCTCTAAAACATGGGAGTAGCTTATCGATGCAAATATCTTAAAATGACACGGGATGGGTACTTTGCATTACTTTTTCCAGTTAGCTCTTAACTGTCTTTTGCTTAACATGAAGAAGAAAAATTACAACACAGAAATGCTCTGAGAGAAATGTGTGTGTTCATTTGAAAAGAAGATACCAACTCTTCATTTAGTTAACATTCACTTTATAAAATACCTTAAAAGAACAGGTAAAGTACTTGAGTTTACATAGTAACCGGAATTGGAAAAGGGTGAATACAGTATAAATTAATTGAACACACAGCTATTTTGCCACATTAGACAAATTTTAAAAAGGCATTTAAAAAATAAAATAGTAACTGGGAAGAAAACCCTTCACTCTATTGCTTTTTCTGGAAACTTTTCCTAGAAGCCCTAAAATTCCAGGTTAACAGGCAGTACCTGTATTGTTGAAAACATACGGTAATTTGCTTCCAAATCTGTTAGCTTAAGAGAAATAATTAAAATTTTAACCAGGTTGGATAATTCAGTGCAAATTAAAGCTTTAAGTTGAAAATCCGAGAGGAAACATAATGTCCAAACTGTAGGAAATATTTCTGAAACAAAAAAAAGAAAAAAAATTCACATTATGAAGAAATCTTTGCAAGTGTTCTTGTGTGTGAAATGTTAACAAATGGGCCCTTTGAAGTTGCAATTTGGGGTTTATTACTAAGACTATTTGCAGTGTGGGCAAGGTCATCATTTGGAAGGAAGTTCAGGTGAACCATAAGCACTGCTCTGATCCAATTCCAGAACATTTGGCCAGGATATTACAGACATCGAGGGGGGAAAAGTTGATGGAAATTAATTTACTTCACTATCATTGAGGATAGATACTTGTACCCTAGGACATGTTGGGGGTTGGGGGAGAGCAGGTTAATGCTGTCCATGATTTACTTGAATTTTTAGGGATAATATAGCATACTGGCTGAAAAATTATACTACCAAGTCTTGAGAAATGGGAGGAATGTCTAAACTTCTTGTATCACAGTGAAACCAAGTCAGGATCATTACCAACCATTAATGGACAGTCATTTTTATAACTAAAAATATTTGGGTTTAATTATTTCCTCAAAAATTTTTCTTGGAGTGTGATAACTCATAGGTCGCAGTGGGCTTTTCATGACAGTGTTTGGTAAAAAGTTTCCTCCTTCCATTCCATTCCGTACAGGTTTGTGGTCCATTTTTTTAAATGATAAAACCAGTGGTTGCTATTGAATCCAAGATGTGGAGATTTTGGTGGAGGCTAGTAAGTTTTCTTTGCAAAATAGATTTAAAAAAAGTTTTCTGGTCTAATTTACTATATCGCCATAAGTCTCTTTTCTAGTTCTCACTAGAAATTTTTGCACATTATTAAGAAATTGAGAATGTAGTTTTCTGACGTTTGCATTTTGCATCTTTCCCTAATCATAACAATATTATCACAGCGAAGTGGTGACTTAGATTTTAGACTGTACCTATGATCAGCAAGTCATAAAAAAGCCAAAATATTACAGTGCTATTCCAATGTGACATCCGAAACCTGATAAAACAACTGCAAAGCCATGGTGACATAACATGGAGTTCATAAAGCAATGCAGAATTAGCCAGTATAATTTTTAAAGGTGTAAGAAAACTGCAGTCATATACCTAACACAGGAAGAACATCTAAGGCAAATTCAAAATCCCCTTCCAGGGACATTCATCGGCTCAGAATCACCTGAAGATATTAAAACACAAGCACAAACTCTCCAAGGCCCGTGACTCCTCCAACACCTCACAGCACGACGCGAAACTGTGGAGTACGGGCCGTTCCCCTCGCAGCGAGCCTGGCCGCTCCAGGTCCCCAGCAGCCTGCCTCCCCGTGGGACCTGCCAGCTGCTGGCCGTGTCCTTCCTCACCCTCAGGAGCGGCTCAGCACCAGAAGCATCTTTTTACATCGCACTGCGTGTGTGTCAACTGAGTGGGAGAAGCAGGCCCAGTCCTGCAGTCAGTCTGTATTTAGAACACCTTCTGTGGGCTTTACACAGCCCTGGTTTCGTCTCATTTCTCCACTACTCGTTAGGAAAGAGTCAAACAGACTGCCTGAAAATCTGACGCTTTGCTGGAAGCCTTCCAGACCTTGTCCATCAGAGAGACTTTCACCATCAAAAGCACAAAGAACTAGACATTATTACCGAAACCGGCTTGCAACAGTTTGTGCTTTAAAAACAGTGCCGAGCACATCACAGATGCACAATAAATATTTGTAGAGTTATTAAAGGTATCAACACGGTTTCTGAAGAACCAACCTCCATTTTGCAAAAAAGGTAAAACTAGGCAAATTTCTTTCACCTGACTGGATGGAGCTATGTGAAGCAATGAATGAATCTACAAATTTAATATGAACTGTAATTTGATTCCAAAGAGAAAATTATGCAAAAAAACACAACAAACCCAGAAAACACAAACATTGCCACAGTAGCATTAGCACTTAGCAGTGCATCAAAGATTTAATGTTTCCACTGCAAAATGAACTGGCTCCTAAACCTGTTATGTACCAGAGTGTAATCACTCAAACAGGAAATGAACTCCACTTGGGAGAGGTATGGCAGTAATTCTATCTGAAAATTGTTAATGTATTTCAGGGAGACAGCCCCTTATTCAGCATGCCTCACGGAAATGCAGGCATACGTATCAGGGGGCCTTGTTATATAACTTCAGTACGGCACTGTCACGTGCAAGTGTATTTTCCCCACATCTGCAGTAGTTGCTTTCTAATATTTTAGGCTTTTACAGTCATGACACCCCTGGGATGACAAAGGTGAGAATACAGGAGATTAAAGATCCCAAAACTTACACTAAAAAGGGAAGCTCTTCTATGTTATATGAAAACACCTTATCAAATGCAGTTCACTGACAAAAAAAAAATGCTTTATACATTCAGATTTTCCCCATCTCTCCTCAACGATGGTTTCCAAAAAAAGACTCAGTAGTGAAGGCCACACTTTTTTTTTTTTTTTGCATTAGTTTGATACATTGAAAATCAGAACCTTTTAAAACAGCTTGTAAATGGGAGAGATGCAATTGGTGGGGCTGTGAGGGGAGAGATCGAAATGAGTATGTGACTTAGCTGTTTGGTGTGGACAGCAACGGAGTCGGTGGAAAATGTTACAGCAGACCTGACCGCTCTACAAAGGGTCCGTCAAGAACACAGTACAAGTATAAAAAAACCAACCAAACAAAAAACCTAAAAACGAACTGCAACTTCGCCAACTTGTAAACAAGGAAAAGCATTTCACAGATTCAAAGTTCAAGGGAAGTAAACGTCTTTAAATTACTTTTGTCAGTTCAACCCTGATTTAAAAGTATGGCTAGCAAAAATAAGGAAGGCACAGCCGCTGCCACCCTGGGCAAGCAGCCGTCCTCTGAGACGCGGCCCCGAGCCCTCCGGGCGCCACGTCGGGGGCAGCCTCTCCCTTCAGTTCCACGCTCGTCTCCCGTCCTCCTGGAATATGCGCCAGCTGCTCCTCACGTGGGTGGCAGTCCTGGCCGCTATAGATTTAGACGCGGGGACACTGGAGGGGGGAAGGCAAATTCTCGGAGGATGCTCCGGGCCACTTCGACGTTATTCTGGGCGATCTCTAAGGCTCTCTTCACCTCTTCAAACGCATAACCCTCTCCCATGAGTTTCGCGATTTTCCCATCGACGTTTTCCGCTGCCTCGGGCCCGTGGGGCTTTCTGTGGTGAATTTCTGGGGCAGTCCTGCGGGGCCGCGGTTTAGGAGGTCTGGCTGGTGCTTGTGAACCATCTGTGTGGGTTTTAAAGATCAACATCATTTAAATAATGAGACAAAAGTAAAGACAAAATGACATTAGTATGACCTCATTATTTTATATGAAAACCTGTTTTTCATTGTCTCTGTTTTTCTGTTTTTTCTACTGTAGGGGAGGTTACATTGTCCCCATTTTGAACATTAGAAAACTGAGGTAGAATGTGTGAGACATTAACACAAATTTATTTCCAATTCCACATATTACTCTTCAAGCCTTATGAAATAAGAGCTACAGAAGGAAAAAACTGTGTGAAAGACGGGCTTTCACTTTGGCAAACAGCTCGCCCGTCTTGGCTGCGGTGGAGGGAGTTTCTTGGGAAGTTTCTACGAGATGAAACTGCCACACGCTCGCAGACATTCCTTGCAGGACACCCACCCGTCCTCCATCCCACCACCCACGTCCCAGCGGCACTGCTCTGAGAAACGCTTTGTACTGACGCTAACAGACAGCGATGCCTCACCGATGGCAGGCAGAAAAGGAACGGAAGTGGGGCGCCCCGGGTCCCCGCGGCAGGCGGCTGAGCAGAAGCGCCCGGCTCGGACGCGTTCCCCAGGTTCCTGCCGGGGCTCTGCCGGGAGAGCAACGCCAGCGGAGACACTGGCGGGGGCCCGGCGGCTCCAGGTCAGTCCCCTGCTGAGAGGACTTTCTCAGAGTTAAACTAAATGGCACTGGTGCCCATGAGTAGAGGGCAGTTTTAGTGAGACAGAGAATTACAGCCACCCCCCTGTACAGAGCGCCCGGGCCTGAGCTAGTAACTTGAGAGGGTAGGTACACTCGTTCATGCATTTCCGTATGTCTCTACCCAGCACTTTAATTCAGATGCCTAGATTTTTAAGAAGATTACAATAAAAACTGTCAAACATATGTGATGAAACACATTGTGGATTTAACACTATGTAGACATCAACATTTATTTAATATATTTTCTCTTAGGTCATGCACAAATGCCAAACGATAAATCCAAGGACACAGTTAAGTAAATGAGGAAGGTGAGGCTAGGACCCAAACGCCTCCTGCCTCCTGTCCGGCCACATTTCCCAATGGCTTGAGGAGATACTGTAAGTAGATATTTTTAATAATAAAATCTAAATCATAAAAATTATCTGATATAACTCCTATTCACAATTCTAGCAATAGCTATAGAACTTACATAAAAGCATCCAGGATGAAACTACTTGGTTCCACACCAAACTCAATAACAGTCTTGATTTTTATTTTTTTCTTTCTTATAGGATAATACTCAGTTTGAAAAATAAATTATAGTGGTAGATAAAGCTTATTAAATTCTGCTCATATATAGAACATTAATTTCTGGTTCTTGCTAAGTCTGTTCTTTCTTGCTGTAACTAAACATCTAAAATATTTATTGTCTGCTAAACTGCACTGTTTACTGTGTTTTGAGATTCCATTTATTTTTCTATTAAGTATTTCCATTATGTCATGCAGAGATGAACAATAAATTATACTTTGCTTCTAATCATTTCCAAAAAACCATTAAGAAATTCTAGCAAACCTTCCTTTAATCAATTACCATAGAATTTATACATTGAAATCTCCTCTGTTCTGATTTAACTGAGAAAAGTACCTAAACATAAGTCTAAATTCCTTGTATTCTGCTGGTAATTTTGTAAGATTTTTTTCTACTATTGTTATTTTGTTTCTGTCCAAAATACTGAGAAGGGCACATGAATGTCAAGCACCTGTGGAAAGAACAGGTATGTGTATGCATGTTCTGCTAAAGTGGACGGACACTATGGCGACCAGAGATGCGGCAAATAGGGTAACTGGCAATAAAGTCTTAAGATTTAGAGCTTTTAGATTTAATAGACATATGTATCTTTGATCTTGGTAGATGGCACCTATTAAAAACCCCAGGAAACCTATCCACTCTGTGAGGCTGCTATAATGAATACTGGCCAAATGCAATGGAATGCAGATGACTAATTTTATTTAAGAGAAAGCTTTTCTTTGCTTAGAAAAAAATAAGTGTTAAGCAGAATTTAGGAAACCTAAGTTAGCAGGGAAAAACACACGCACATACGCACTATGATGAAATCAAATCTCTTGTCAAGAATGGTGAAGGCCTCTCATTCTGGAATTGGTTTGTTTCTTTTTGCACACAAACTATATTGGAAGTATCAACTAGAGAAAATGATTCAGATCCCCTCTGGATGGAATCATGACAGATTTTAAAACATTTCAATAAAAATAAAACCTTCTTGAAGCAAAGATTTATTTTTTCAATACATAGATTTCCCTTTAAATCCAAAACTCATAGATCCCAACTCACTTAATCTTAGCCATCATTGCCCTAACTCAAAATGTTTCCCCCAAACAGTGCTGACATCTCTTCAGACTCTTACAGGTGCCCTGAAGTTGAGCTGTATCATATATTAGAGTCTACAAATGGAAGTAAAATGGAATCTCAGTTACAACTTTTTGCCACCTGTTATATATAAATTTCTCCTTATCGCTGTATTATATTCAGTTTTGAGTATCTTAATTTTTTTGTTCAACTGTTTTGGTCAGATGCATCTCACTCAGTGTGGCCTCTAAGATTTTGAGTAACTCTGATTTAAGCAATTTACTTTTATAATTCTCTCTCTAAATCTCGTGTATCTCCATTTTCAAAGTTATTATTTATCCTTTCTCAGTTAGGTAGTATGTGAATTAATTAAGGGAATGCTCAGGACAATGAGTTGACATTTATAATGATCACTGCTCCCCTGAAAACAGCACTTGCTGTTGTTAAGGGACGTGGGAGAGGTCTGGAAGGAGGTGAAAACGTGGAATTGTTGGGAGTGCATAACTCTAGAAAGCTTTTAATTTTAAGCAAGATCTCTTACAACCTGAATAGTGGGAGCTGTTTTTTTTTTTTAAAAAAGGCAGACCATTTCTATGTTGATCATTAAGAGCAAAATGCTTAAAATGAATCCCTCCCTCTTTTGACACATTTCTTCCCAAAGCTCAGAATCAGCCTTCCCTGTCCCCACAGCGTCTAACAGTGGGAGACACCGGGTGCTTATTCACTTCAGAATGTGTGGGTAATAGAAGGGAGCAGTGAAACAGAAGATGAAACGACCTCACATCCCCCACGGCGTTATGCTGGAGTTCAGGAGGGCATGGCACGGGGTGGCATCTTACCAACTCTGGGAATTTCTGTGCCCGAACGATTCACCCGTAAGAACAGTTATGGAGGGCATGTGTTTATTCTAGCGCTGCTGTCCATGCTCAAGGCATTTTTTAAGTCCCATGAGCAATAGCAACAATATCAAAATAAGTGCAAGAATAGGAAAATAGTACATTTTCCTGGAGCAGCAATTTTACTCGAGGGTGTGAGATTAATAGTTTTTAATACTGAAATGAATGCAGGTATACCAAAGAGTAAAATGCAAAATTTGCATATATTTTTGAGATTAAACAGGCTTTGAAGCAATTTCCTGCATGTGACTGTCCACTTTTAGTTAGAGCCTTACTCCATGTGTTGATTAGACTTAACTATTTGGTGTGGAGAAAGATTTTAGAAGCACTGGTTTAAGGGTAAATCTTATTCAATTTTCATTTTCTGAGCCTATAAAAGAGCAAAGAGACATAAAAATTTTTTTAAAAAGCCCTAGATGGCATGAGAATTAATCTGATGACAACAGGATCAGAATAATCCCTTGAATGATTACTGTACATCAAGCATATTTGAGGGACAAAAACAATCTTAGATCCTATAAGGGTCTGTGGCCCTCCCAAGGGCCACAGTACATGGAACTATGCAGTATATCTTTGGTAGCAAACTTTCACTGTTGTAGAGGGGGTCAGAATTGAATAGTAGGAAAAGGTCTAAAAAGGCCTTAGGTGGACTATGATTTAAAAAAAAAATTTAAAAAAAATGAGAGACACACTGCTGTATGTCTACATCTATGGGAGTGGATGGTACATATACTTCAGTGGCTACCAACTGTTTTGCCACAAGAGGGCCTTCATTATCTAAACTTTGGTGGGATTTTTTTTAGTCAATATTTAGAAAGATGTATTTAACAAGCAAATGTCATAATTAATGAGTATGTTTTCCTACTTCCTATTTCTGTTAAGCCGTATTTAACAATACCTACAACACCAAGTTTCTGTATTTTAGACAAAAGAAAAGGCACTTAATGTGTTAGAATTTGTTAGACTTTTAAAATATTAGTGTTTGACAATACATAAAAATGATGGACCATCATACCATAATTTAAAATGACATTTATTTAAAAATTATACTTATGATAACTATGTTAAATGGAATTGAAGAATTGACATATTAAGTATGATTTCAACTATGTGAGCATGTGCATGGAAAAAACAAAGAAATGCTCTAAAATGGCAATAATCATTATTAGTGATGGGATTATAAGTGACTTTTTCTTATTGTTTTTAAATTCTATTGTTTTACACATGCCTATCAGTGACAACACTCCCGACATCAAGACCCTTAGACTACTTATTTTCTCAACTATATCTGAGAATGACAAAAATAATATAAATTTAACTGATTAAGGCATAAAAGAAATCTTGAACACATCAATCATCATTAAGACAGTTATTCTAATTTGTATCAATTCTGGAACTCATCTATACCATAAACTTGAATTGCTGTCAATGTGGACACACCATCTAAATACAGTTTTCACTAAATTACAAAAAAATAAAACATCTTCATATATACTGTAATAGATAATTATGAGAGTTAAGGTTATAACATACCATTTTTAAATGGTTATTAAAGAGCATTGGTATTAGATTTATAAGAAAAAAGACTTCAGGTAGTCCAACTGTGTAAACTATAACACTGCAATTTTCTTTGTTGAAACACAAAACAAAATCTTTATTGAAGACATCACTAATGACAATATACAATTTCATCCTTTGTGAAGTAACTGAGATCTTAGTGGGGATAACTATAGAATATTTGGTCTTAATATAAAATTCATTCAATACTCAATTACTTTTCCTTGAAGCTAGTAAAGGAAATGCAGTATTGGAATTAATTGCTTTTATAATGAGACCTCCTTTATTTTGTGTATTTGGCAATAAGATCTTTTAGCAGTTACAATAATTTCAGCATATAACTTGTATTAAATCTACTTGTATTTTCAAGTGTTGCTCTGAACTGCCTTCTAAATACTAAGAACATGGAAAATCTCCAGCGCTAACACTGCCCTTCCTCAGCATGAGCACAGACACATCATCATTGTGACTGTTTTACTATAAGTTGGACTCCCTGGGCTTTTAAAGAATGGCATTCAAACTGTAGCAAATTTTATCTTATAACAGGAGAAAAGAAAACTGTAAAATTTGTAAAACTCAAAAATAGCTAGTAATAGACATGAACACCATGTGAATAATGTACCCATGTGAAGAAATAAGATTAGCAAAAAATGCTTGCCTCATTCATATACAGGTATATTTGAATTTAACACAGACTGGTTAAATCCACTTATTTCTGATGAACCATCATTAGATATCAAGTGTTACATCTGAAAAGCTTTACTCCTCTCCCCCACATTTGTGTAACTGTCTTAAACACTTGGAAGGCTCTTTGTATATGCAGACATACATATGCACACATCCTTCATCAATAAAATCATAGTTTTGAATTCTTTAGAAACATTTATGTATAAAATTTCTATGCAAAGACTAAGTCACGATCAGTCATTTAGATCACCATAAAGACCAGAGAAATTGAATTTATACAGTGTAGCAATTGTATCAGAATCCTCAATGGTCATCTTAGGCCTTAATAAAAGCACATTACTGCAAAATAAGGGCTATTAGAATCTTAAAGGCACATAGCATACAGTCTCAAGTTTTGGATAAAAAGACCAAATCCAGGAGGCAAGCCCAGGCCCTCTGCTGGTGTGAAATTAACAAGTGGACAGCTTGGTAGCCCTGTGAACAAATATCTTGTTGGGAAAAGTATGTGTTTTCTGTGGCTTGACCTTGTTTGTAAAGAGTGTTCAGGGAGCAGGTTGAAATATTTGATGTTGCAGCTAGCTGAAGCTCTCAGAGTAATAATCAGGCCTATTTTATCACTCAGGTAAAAGCTGGTTCAGGCTTCTGGTAAATGCCTATTTGGGGATATTTCAAAAGGTTTGTGACTCAAAGTTTATCCTTAGAATTTCTAGTGTAATGCTAATTGGAATTCCTATCAGTTGAAATCATACATGTGAATGATTTCCTCTGGGCTTGACAATACCCACATATTAAGAAAAAAACTGTAAAGAAGCTGTGAAAATAGAACATTTTGGCCACAACTCTTTCCATAACTTGAGTATATGATTCTTTAATCCAGAGTTGGTGCTACTGAATATGTTATTTTAAATCAGTCATGGTCCTCTCCTCAAAGTTGTATTTTAACATGATTTCCTTAAGGGATTTGCTTCCTTCTTTTATATAGAGGCTGTCAGATACTGTCTCCCCTTGTTCTTGACTTTCACATTTTTTTACCGATCTGGAAATCTATCTACCCTTTTAACTATAGTGCTTTGTTGGCTAACCATGGGGTATATCTAAAACCTTGTAAAGACCAGAAGTAAACAGGTAAGAGAGCATGGACCAAAATTTGAAAAGGCTAGTAAAATTTTCTATGTTCTCCTGAGTTTTATTCAAGTGTTCAAACTTACAGAAGAATTTTAGCATCTCCCAAGCATGTCATCAAGCATATAAGAACTAGGTTGGTAATTCTCAAATCAGCCATTACTTATTTTGATTCAGAAGTTACAGAATATAAGGTGTCCCCCAAAATGTATACACACACTTTGAATAATTATAAAGGCAGTGTTTATTAAAATACATTTCATTTTCAAAACTGAGCTATCAGCTGTTAAAGCGTGTACATTTTGGGGGACACCGTGTATATGGCTATCACGAATAACCTGTGAACTGAGGTTTGAGCTGGACAAAAATATTGTTCATATGAGTATGGCCTGTTCTTCTACTTGCGGCCGGCAGTGGAGCGGAGCACTGCAAGGTAGCCCTAAATAAGCTATGAAAATTATAGTTTGGTGCTAATATTAATTCTAAAGAGATTTTGTCTTTTATGGAGAAATAAGAGAATGTGGCATTACAGTGTATGGAGAGATTTCTCCCTTGTCTCATCTGGTAAGGCAAGACAAAAGTTAGAGAATGAATAAATTTTGCACCACAGAACACACTTTACTAACTGATCAAAGATGACACTACGGCTTTTCTTATTTTCCATGAGGTGATTTTGTAGGTGTTCCTCTCATAATACAAGCTTTAAAAGCAGCAAAGGTGATAAAAATACTTTCTTAGGCTGGCGGTGCTCCTTGAATTATATAATAAAAAGGTGCTCCCCAAAGCACCACGTAAACGGAAGGTAGTGCTACTGTGGTCAGCCAGCTCACCTGAAGACGGAGGAAGCTGATCGTAATCCTGTGAGGTTCTGTTGGCTTTGACGGTCTCACCTGGCAACCTCCTTGCAGGAGGCAGAGGAACTTGGCCGCTTGCAGGGTCAAAAAAGGGATCTTAAAAAACAAAGATAATTTTCAGATTAGAATGACTGTCTCTGCTGGTTGACTGAAGAGAAAAATTCTAGAAAGTCTCTATAAAGATCCAGTTTTGGAAAATTACTTTTTAAATTTATTTTATGACTCATATTAACAATTTTTAATCTGCCACCCTGCTTTTCCCATTTATTCCTAGATAATAAAGACAATTTTATATTTATATTCTCAGATCTCATTTGATTGTAAAATTGTTGTTAAAACTTCTAATTTTTATTTTCTCTCCCAATTTTTCCTGTACAATGAATAGAAACTTATAAAAGTAATAAAAAAACCCCACAAAAAAGTATGTTGAATTTTGCTGTAAGAATATTTGAAATCAGTTAATCACTCTAATTCACAGGCAGACAGTGTATAAACTGGACATTACATTTAGGATTTGTGAGGATTAAATGAATTTATGTACGTGATATCTGTACATATAAGGTACTTTTTAAAATAACACTACATTGGGCATCCTACGTAAAAACTGTTAAATGGCTCACTGAATAGTAAATTGTTAAAAGTTGTACTATTAGTAAGGTTTGAACATATAGTAATATGTGATTTTTTAATTTTTTTTACTACCTTGGCAGTCAGAGAGGAGGCATTTGAAATAGTGAAAAATATAAACTGTAGACAAAATTTACTATTCATAATGGTATTTATAAACTGGAACTAAGGACAGAAAGAGATTTTGTCAATGCTACTGTATCAAATTGTTAGGACCATAAACTTAACTGGTTTAAATCCACAGAAGATTCCTTTCCTGCCTGGAGGAATATTTCCTCCGCAATCTCTGGCTCCCTGGTAACTTAGGTGGCCACCTCTTCCATAGTGGGCCCGCTTCTCTCTCTCGCCTTTCTTCCTTTCATGTCCACCAGGGACCTCATCTTATCCTGTTTGAATTTTCTCTCCCAGCACACACGCAGTACCAAGAACACTGCCTCGCAAATTAGCTTGGACTTCATAAGTGTTTACTCTTAAGTATAAAAAGTAAATGCAAACAGATTGATTTTTCAGAAATTCAAAATCAAACACCTGAATTTCACTGACAAATCCGTGAAATCTGAATTGCTAACATAAGGCTAAAATTATAAATATTAAGGACCTAATTATATTTCATTGTTTTAACTTCCATTAAGAATATGTAGGAGTTTGATTATTTAAGAAGGTAATGCATGATTTATATCAATTTTTGACTAGATAATGTAAGGCAAGAGTTGAAGTCCTTAATTATTTTTTCTCCTATTTGAGTACAGTAATTATCCCCAGCTTTGCTGGAGACTTTCTGACTTAAGCAAGGCTACTTAACTTGCTTTCATTAATTTCAAGATTAAAATGAGTCTTAGGTTTTGAGCTTTCAATATTTGAAGAGCCAGCGATTCAACCTCATTAATTCTGCTGAAATGTTCTAAGAAGATAAATCAAATTCCATGCAACAAATGTTAATCTTTAATTAGGAAGAGGAACCAAATGTAATTTCTACACAAATTTAGAAATTTCCCTAGGATTTAGATTTATTCAATAAAATTTACTTTCAGTTCTTGTGCAATCTAAAACATCACTGATATAACAGGTTAGAAGAAAGTCTACTTTTACAATTCATACACGTTTTTGTATTTCCTTAGGGGTAACTTATAGGCTTGTCAGATATCCTTATGCTATTTCTAATCATTTACTTATTTAAGGCTAAACATTAGATTCTGAATACACTGGAGAGTCATAAATAGACTACTCAATACACAGTTGTATAGTATTTCACTTAAAAAGTCACTAGATACACTAATATTATTACCATAAATAATAAAAATATTTATAGTTCAGTTCTGAATCACTCCATGTTCTGTCACACTTTTATAGCAAGTTGTAAAGTTGGAACATTCGTGCTTCAATGAAAAAAGATATACACAGAATACAATAATTAACTGTCTCCTGATATGGAAAAATTGAAAAGCAATAAAGTTTTTAAAAGTAACCCTTCAAAAAGTAATTACAGTAAAATTTTATATCCACACTTAGGATTAAAACATACAAATTGAAAATACCACAGCCAGTGTACCATTATATAGTAATAAATGTTTGAGAAATGAGAACAAACATTATGGGATTAATCTGTTTTAAAAAGCAAAGTACTACTGCCTGTGAGTTATAGTATGTAATGCTAAATTTAAAATTTAATACTTATTTTGAAGATTATAAAAAACTAAGGAAAGACTATAAGTGAAAGATTTGCAAATTGTAAAAGAAGTGGGAAAGATATCTGGTAAAGATGGCAGAGTAGGTAAACACTGTGCCTCCTCCCACATCAAGGTTACAATTAAATTACACAACTGCCATCACCGAGAACCACCTGAAATCTAGCTGAACAGAAGCCCTTAACTAAGAACACAAAGGAGCCATGTGGAGACGGTGGGAGCGGTGGAGATGCAGGGCTCACACCCATGGGGTGGAAATTAAGAAATCAGGAGGGATTATCTCAGCGGCAGAGGTGACCCTGAGGATCAAGGGGTCCCAGCCCCATACTGAGCCCCTCAGCCAGTGCTCGGAGGAGGAGTCCTCATAACACCCGGCTGTAAAGCCAGCCTGGGACTGCATCCGAGGGAGAAGAGGTGCTGCAGGTCTTAAAGCAAACGGACTCACTCTGGGCCCCAGCGCAGAGGCAGCGGCTCGAGGCGGGCCAGGGACACGCGGGGAGAAACGGACTGGCTGGCGTCAGGGCCGGGGGCGGGCCAGGGTCGGGCCAGCCCTCTCCGAGGCTGGCAGTGCTGGCACGTGCCACTGTAATTCCGTGGAGTGCTCCCCCTACCCAGCCAGCCTGGCTCACTATATGCCCGCCCTGGGGACTTCCTGAGACCCTGCCTTATCCTACCATCATCCTGGCTCAGCCTCTTCCAGTGGCTTCCACACAAGCCCCTGCCTCAGCTCACGCTGCAGACTTTCCTAAAACCTCCCAAAGGTTCGCAAAAAACAAGCAAGCAGTAAGTATCTGCTTGGTGTGCCCAGTACCTCTTGCTAAGCTACCCCAAGACAGGCACCATCAGTGACCAGTCTCAACTTGGCAATGTAACTCCCATTAGGCACTCAGCCCCAACCCTGACATAAGCAGCAGCCAGTCTTGGGTGGGGATGTAGCCTCAACTAAGTGGCCACAAGGGCAGCTGGCCTCAGCTCATATCATAGTGCCCACCACCAGTGGCTGCCAGTCTTGGTTTGTAAAACAGCGTCTCTCAAGAACCTCCAAGGCCAGCAGAAGTAGGAACTAACCACAGACCAATCAGTCACTTTATAGCTCCTACCAGATGACCCCAAGCTGGGAACAATCAGCAGATGTACCTAACCTTGGGTGGGGCACTGTAGCCCCACCCAAGAGGCTTCAGAACAAACACACTTGGTGGCCAGTATCAGACCACACCAGAGCCCAACCAACCAGCTTCACAAATGACAAACCAGAAGGGCAGACTTGGCGGACACTAGAGTCTCACCAAAGTGACTCCTGCTCTGTGGGGTCAGCCCCTGCACAACAGCTTGTCCACTATAGTCAGAGCCCACCCTCAGACCCAGTCAGCCTGAAGGTCAAACCTACCCACTGACATGAAAACAGTAAACAAGCCCTGGCCTGGTGGCTCCGTTGGTTGGGGCATCATCCCCTACACCAAAAGGTTGCAGGTTTGGGGCATGTACAGGAGGCAACTGATTGACGTTTTTCTCTCAGATTAATGTCTCTCTCTCCTTTCCTCTCTCTCTAAAAATATCAATAAAAACATACCCTTGGGTGAGGATAAAAAAACAAACAACAAGAAAACAGTAACCAAGGCTCAACTACAACAGGAAGGCACATACAACCCACACAAGGGACATCTTTGGAGCACCAGCTCAGGTGACCAGGGAGACTGCACCACTGGGTCCCACAGAACAGCTACATAAGGCCACACTGCAAAGACTAGGCGATGAAGCAGATCTACCTAATACATAGAAACAAGCACAGGAAGCCAGCCAAAATGAGGACACAAACATGTCTCAAATAAAAGAACAGGACAAAACTATAGAAAAAGTACTACATGAAAAGCAGACAAGCAACCTACCAGATACAGAGTTCAAAACACTGGTTATAAGGATGGTCAATGAACACAGATGAAGAATAGATGATCTCAGTGAGAACTTCAACAGTGAGGTAGAAAAGGTAAAAATGGGTTAGAAAACAATAAAGAATGAGTCAAAATGAAGAACACAGTAACTGAAATGAAATATATATTAGAGCAGAGGATCAAATCTGCCATGTGGAAGACAAGCTAGTGAAAAGCACCCAATCAGAACAGCAAAAGGAAAAATGAATTTTAAAAAATGAGGACAGTTTAAGGGACCTCTGGGACAACATCAATGGTAACAACATTTACATCAAAGAGGCACTAGAAGAAAAATAGCAAGTGATTTAAAAACAATTTGAAGAAATAATGACCCCAAACTTCCCTAATATAACAAAAGAAACAGACATACAAATCCACGAAGTACAGAGAGCCCCAAACAGACACACCCAAAGAGGCCTGCACCAAGACACATCATATTGAAAATGCCAAAGGTTAAAGACAGGGAGAATCTTAAATGCAGCAGGAGAAAAGCAGTCACATAAAAGGGAGCTCCCATTAGATAATCAGCTGTTTTTCCAACAGAAACTCTGCACACCAGAAGGGAATGGCATAAAATATTCAAAGCGATGAAAAACAAGGCTTTCATTTAGAATCAGAGGAGTGGTCAAGAGTTTCCCAGACAAGAAAAAGCTAAAGGAGTTCATCACCACTAAGTCAGTATTACAAGAAATGTTAAAGGCCTGCTTCAAGTAGAAAAGAAAAGATAAAAAATATGAATAAGAAAATATAGGAAAGAAAAAAATTCTCACTGACAAAGGCAAACACTTAGGAAAAGCCATGGATCAACCAACTGTAAAGCTTGTACAAACATTAAATGACAAAAGTAAGATCATGCATAATTACAACAATAAATTAAGGGATACACACAAATATATGCACAAAAGTAGTGAAAAATAATGACAAAATATAAGCATGTAGGGCTGAGTAAAAATGATAGTGATTTTAGAATGCATTCAAACTCAAGCAACCATAAACTTAAAACAGACTTATAAATATAGCTTGGTTATAGCCTGTTATAAATATGAAGCACATGGTAACCACAAACCAAAAATCTACAAGAGATAAAGAAAAAGGAATCCAAATACAACACTATAGAAAGTTATCACCATACAAGAGAGAAAAGCAAGAGAATAAGGAGCATATAAAACTATAAAAACAGAAAACAATTAAATAGCAGTATCTACATAACTATCAATAATTAATTTAAGTGTAAGTGGACTAAATGCTCCAATCAAAAGACGTAGTATGGGTGAATAGATAATATATCCATACATATGCTGCCTACAAGAGACAGATTAAAAGATACAGAGACTGAAAGTAAAGGGATATTTCATGCAAATGGAAACCAAAAAAAAATCTGGAGTAGCAATAATTATATCAGACAAAATAAACTTTAAAACAAGGGCTGTAACAAGAGACAAAAAGGACATTCCATAATGATAAAGGGATCAATTCAACAAGAAGGTATAAAACTCTTGTGAACATCTACACATGTAACATAGTTACACCTAAATATAAAGTAAATACGAAGGACATAAAGGGAGAGATCAAGAGTAATGCAGTAATGGTAAGGGACTTTTTAACTTCCCATTTACATCAATGGGTACATCATCCAGGCAGAAAATCTACAAGGAAACAGTGGCCTTAAATGGCAAATCATACCAGAGGGCTTAATTGATATTTTTAGGACACTTCACCTAAAAGCGTAAGAATATACATTCTTTTTAAGTGCACATGGAACGTTTTCCAGGACAGATCAAATGCTAGGCCACAAAATAACTCTCAATAAATTGAAGACGACTAAAGTCCAATAAAGCATCTTCTATCACAATAGTATGAAACTAGGAATCAATTACAAGAAGAAAATTGAAAAGCACACAAATACATTGGAGGATAAATAACATGCTACTACACAATGAATGGGTTAACAATGAGATAAAGGAAGAAATCAAAAGGCGCCTGGAGACAAATGAAAACACAATGACCGCAAAATCTATGGAACACAGCCAAAGCAGTTCTGAGGGAAATATATAGCAATACAGGCCTAACTCAGGAAACATAAACAACCTCAAATAAACAATCTAACATTACAACTAAAAGAACTAGAAAAAGATGAACAAAGCCCAAAGTGAGTAGATCACAGTGGAATAATCTAAATAGTCTAAAAAACAATATAAAGAGGTTCTTCGAAACGACTAGTAAAATTGATAAACCTTTAACCAGACTCACTAAGAAAAAAACAGAGAAGACCCAAATAAATAGAATTGAAAGAGGAGCAGTGACAACAGACACTATAGAAATACAAAGAATTATAAGAAAATACAAATACATTCCAACAAACTGAACAACCTGGAAGAAACAGATAAATTCCTAGAAACATACGATCCTACAAGACAGAATCAAGAAGACAGAAAATCTATGCAGATTGATATCTACTATGAAATCAAATCAGTAATCTAAAAACTCCCTATAATCAACACACCTGATTGGCTTGTCAGTTTCACAGGTAAATTTCCCAAACTTTCAAAAATAATTGAATGCCTATGCTTCTCAAACTGTTCCAAAAAACTGAAGAGAACGGAAGGCTCCCAAACTCATTTACGAGGCCAGAATTACCCTGTTACCAAAACCAGACAAAGACACACAAAAAAAAATTATAGGCCAATATCCCAGATGAACATAGATGAAAAATCTTCAACAAAATATTAGCTAACCAAATTCAGCAATACATTAAAAAGATCACCCATCATGATCAACTGAGATTTATTCCTGGGATACAAGGCGGTTCAGATCCAAAAGCCAATTGCTATGATACGCCACATGAACAAAATGGATAAAACGTACAAAGTCATACTGATAGATGCAGAAAAAAGATCTGACAGAATACAACATGCTTTTGTGACAAAAATGCTCAGCAAAGAAGGGATAAAGGGAACATACCTCAACTATATAATGAAGGACAGATATGACAAACACACAGCTAACACATCATGCTCAGGAATAAGACAAGGATGCCCACTTTCATTGGTTGTCCTAGCCACAGTAATCAGACAAAAAAAATGAATAAAAGGCATCCAAATTGGAAAGGAGGAACTAAAACTGTCATCATTTGTAGATGATTTGATGCTCTATATAAAGAACTCTATAAAGATTCCACCAAAGACACCTATCAGAACTAATAAATAACTTTAATAAAGAAGGATTCAAATTAATATTCAGAAATTGGCTGCATTTTCATACACCAGTAACAAAGTATCAGAAAGAAAAATTAAGAAAGCAATCTAATTTACAATTACATCAAAAAGAATGAAATAGCTAAGAATAAATTTAACTAAGTAGGTAAAATACCGGTTCTCTGAAAACTATAAGGCACTGAAGAACAAAACTGAAAACATGAATAGATGGAAGCATATACTATGTTCATGGATAGGAAGAATGAACATCATTCAAATGCCCATACTACCCAAAGCAATCTATAGATTCAGTGCAATTGCCATGATAATACCAATAACATTTTTCACAGAGCTAGAAGAAATAACCTTAAAATTTATATGGAACCACAGAAGACCCTGAATAGCTAAAGGAATCTTAAGAGAACAAAGGTGGGGGTATTATGCTACCTGATATCAATCTATATGTACTACAAGGCTATATAATCAAAACAGCATGGCACTGGCATAAAAACAGACATAGATCAATGGAACAGAATAAAGAGCCCAGAAATAAATCCATGCCTTTATGGTCAGTTAACCTATGACAAAGGAGGCAAGTACATAGAATGGGGTAAACACAGTCTATTCAATAAACGGTGTTGGGAAAACTGGACAGATACATGCAAACAAATGAAACTAGACCACTTTCTTACACCACATATAAGAAAAAACTTTAAATGGATTAAAGCCTTAAATGTAAGACCTAAAACCATAAACTAGAAGAAAACATAAGCAAACTCTATAACATTGATCTTAGCAATAATTTTTTGAATATGTCTCCTCAGGCAAGGGAAACAAAAGAAAATTAAACAAATGGGACTACAGCAAACTGGTAAGTTTCTGCACAGGGAAGGAAACCATCAAGCTAATGAAAAGACAACTTACTGAATAGCAATATATATTCACGTACGATATACAAATATAAGGAACTCATATAACTTAACACCAAAAAAAGAAATCATATTTAAAAATGAGCAGAAGATCTGGAAGGACTCTAATCCTTCTTTCACCAATACTATAATCGAAGACAACTCTAATAAATAAATATCCAAGGTCTTCTCTTTTCTTGGACAAACATCCTCAGCTCCTTTAACTTATTGTAGTTTACATGGTGTGGTTTGAATTCCCTTTACTATACTGGCCGCACACTTCTAGGAATATCCCCACCACCCAGTGATTCTTAAAATTGAGCATGCATCAGACCATGAGGGAGGCTTATGAAAACAAATTGCTGGGTCTTACTCCCAGATTTAGTAAATCCTGGGTGGATCCTATGAATCTGCATTTTAAAGATGTCCCCAGGTGATACTGATGCTGCTGGGCTGAAGACCACAATTTCAGAAGCACTGCTTTAGCCCCTCACTCAATCTTTCAACACCTGAACACAGTGGTCTCCAGGCCTCTGAGCACTGGGGAGGACCTCACCTCACTCCTTGGATCTGAACTCTGTGAGGGTGCAACCTTCAAACAGCATGAGCTTCCTTGGCAGCCACAACATGATAATGCTTTATAAAGGTCACAGTCAACAAATCCCCGTGAATACTTTTCAATACTGTTACTAATGATCTGATTTTTCTTTACATTTTACTTAAAAATAGTAACAAAACAATAAAATGAAGATATTTCAGAAAAACTTATCAGTGTTATTTATAACAATGTAATTTACCAAGATATTATGTTTTTGAACAAAATCATGCTCCTAAATATATGTAGCAAAATTTTTAAAGGTTACTAGAAAAAATTACTCAGAATCAGAGACCAAGTCTAAACGTTGTCCCCATCACTATTAGACCAATCACAGAGCCCTTCTAGTTCTCAGGGATGCCTTTGCACTATAAGGGTGATATTTGGACTGGATGATGTCTGCAGCACCATTTCTAAATTCTATTATTCCTTATTGCTTTTGCCATTTTTGTAATCCTTTTGCAACCGAACCAATCAAGTGACAAACAAACCTACCCAACTGCTATTTCCCCCACCCTGTTTTTTTTTCTGCCAGAGAGAGAGAAAGCTGTTTGACAGTATGACCTTAGAAATATTTTTGCATTAAGTGAAAAGTTTTCCTTGGCTTTTCTCTCCTACCTGAAGGAAGAAGGAAAAGGTCTTGTCCTGAGGATGGCCGGCTACCGGAGCCAGGAGGTTTTGAATGTTCGATGAGACTATGTCTTGCAGGAGGTGGGGGAGGTGGGAGGGATGGGGGGAGGGCATCAAAAGCACCTTCACCTGCATTTAAAGAAAGGTTAGTTATCAAGAGCAGAACTTTCATTGGTCAAAACACAGTATCAGGCCAAAGTAATGATTGATTTTCTCTTGCTGCTTATAAAGAACTTCACCTGCAGTGTTTATCCAGCTGTTCACCAATTTTGATAATGGGCACTAATTATTTTGTGGGAGTTTGGAGAGCAGCAAGCCAGACACAAACACACATGTGCATACAAACTTTTTCTATCTCCCAGGTCTTTCTATTAAAAAGCACTGCAGGTTATGAAACAGCTTATTATTCACCTGTGAACTTTATAATATTAAGACACTAGAATTTCAACTAAAAATTGTAAGTCACACCATCAAAACATAATTCTTTGTGTAACAGCCTCTAATTAGAAAATCACACTGTGCACAAAAAATTTAATGTCACTGAATAGATTATCTTTCAAAGTTTATTCCACTAGATTTTAATTTATTGAAGCTAACACTCCATATATTTCATTGTAAAAATATACAGCAAATGCACCTACAGGAGGATAGTATCTCTAAAGAGGAACAGTTAAATATAGAACTACCTTTTGTGATCCCAAAGATATTTCTCATTATTTGCGTATTTCCCAGTTTTTAGTAACTACAGAAAGAGCACCGCAGCATGCTTTGTCTATTTTTCCCCTGCCACATACACTATTCTACTCATATTTTCCTTATATTGATTCCTTAAAAAATATAAAAGTTGCAGTGTAAGCAATCTCAAATACTTTGTGAATGAAACAGTATATAAATAAACAGCTACATATTCCAGTAATAAAAACACACATGTATTTAAATTTAATGACAAACATAGAGGTATACTTAAAGAAAACAGTTTTACCACTCATCCAGCTTGCTTTTCAAAAAATACTGAAAATATTTTCTCTAATGATCATAAATATTTTTCTAACAAGATATCTAAAAGTATAGGAGAGGTAGTTCTGCTATCACTTCACCCTTCAGCTATCTGCTAAATTATCTTACTCATTCAAATCCTTTTTCAGCCTCTAAGTATCAGGCACCATGCTAGGCACATAGATAATGTGAAGATCAAAGTCATAAGGCCCTGACCCAAGGAGCTCAGATTCCACAAGGAGATCTAAGAAAAGTTCACAAATGATTCAAGGCCCCACAGAAAGATATATTCATTTTAAGAGGGAAGAGAAAGAAACTAGCATTCAGCAAGGTGTTACCAAGAACAGAAAGGTCTGGGCTATCAGTGGCTCAAAAATATTTGTCAAATGGGAAGGTGGTATTTTCTAGAGAGCGCAAACAGTACGAATAAAGCATGAGATACACGAAGGCAGGGTTAAAAAGACAGGCTGGAGCATTCGTCTGCATTGTCTAATATGGTAGTCACCATCCACATGTAGCTCTTTAGTATAAATTGAACTAAAACTCAGTTCCACGATCACATATGTGAATGTAAAGATCCCTTACACCACCACAGAAAGTTCTGCCGGACAGTGCTGATCTAGATCCTGAAGGCCTGGGTAACAGGTGAAAATCAGGGTGTAGCAGGAAGAAGGCAGAAGGCTCGCAGTCCCCCAGGTGAGAACAAAGCAGTGAACGACGGGAGGACCGAGGGGCCTCAAGTGCAAAACAGAAAGAAAGGCGAGTAGAAGACACCGCAGTCGTATAGCTGGAAACACTGGCTGATGGTGTTTGAGGAAAAAAGCTAAAGGTTCATGTCACATTTCTGGAGTATAGTAATTCAGAGAAGCTTATAAAGGGACCTCATCATACATTATTTTACGTTATGGTGACTTGTTACTGTGAAGCCTTAGTGTGTGTGAAGGTTCTAATTGTCTTCCTCTAAAAATAGGGTGAGCAGCTTCCCACCTAGAATGAATGAACTCAGCCAGCCAACTTTAACATACATACACAGCTGTGTGTACCTCCACACAAGTACACACACCAAACACACAATAGTATACTTCTTCGTATTAAAATCTGAAACAAAGAAATTTAGATTCTTTGCATGTGCTTTTTGCAATTCTTTGCAATGATTATAAGACAGATCTTATATGTGTGTGTGTGTGTATAATTTTCCATAATGTAACAAGTGGGACTGCGTTGTTTTACGCTGAAGTTAACAATACAAACTCGTTAAGAGTTGTGTGCTGAAGATAAAGTCATGTGAACACTTCCAATCTACGAGAACACAAGTGCCTGAGCAGTGCTCCCACAGACTTCTGAAGACTACATTTAGTACATGAAGATACAACTTGATAAAGTCCTGACTGATGGCCAGCTATTAACAACACTGCTTCAACCATCTAGACGGAATAATGGTCACACGAATTTGAGAGCGACCATCACCCGAAGAATCCGTTCTAATTCAGACGGATTCAGAGCCTAGTGAGTCTGCATTACATTGAACTCTGATTTCTGATAACTCAGATATTAAAGCGAAAGAGGAGGCAGGGTGGCTCGTTAGAAAAATTTTTAAAGGTTTCAACCTAATGGAGGGATGAGAAGATCATAATCAGAGGGCGTCCTGTTGAGTGAAGAGCCATGCTTTGGATTGTCCCGGGTTGGAGGCCTGGCAGGTGGCAATGGCACTGGATCAGAGGCTGAATCAAAAACATCTCCTAGAGGATAACACAAAATCTTAATGTATTTTCAGTTCAACATTGGCAGGGAAATTTGCCTTTAAATTCTGACCATTAAGATGCAGAACACAGAGAGAATATTTATTATACATACCCTTTACATATAAGCCTAACTCAGGGATGTGTAATTTCTTCATCTCTGAAGTTGTACCATGTGTTCCATTCAATATACAATGACCGTTATCATAAGACCTAAAGCGGAGATCAGAGGATAAGAGTCATAAGGGTAATCACTTTCCACGCAAACGTCATTTGGGAGGGTGATGGGAACTAGCAACCCAGCTCATATACTAAAGTTTGAAAATAAATATAATTAAATTGCTTTTCTGGAAAAAGCACAAGTAATATTATTTAGATACTCTTAAATATTTTTATAAAGCAGAAGTAACCCACTGAAAACATATAAATCTCTTTTTTAGTATAACCAAAGATTACAATGGTCACAAAAATTGTTGCTACTCAAAATACACCTTTGAAATTAACATGTTTTGAAAGAGTTCACTAATACTTTAACTTTTTGAAGAAAAAAATGTAATAAAGCAGAAAACATTTTAACAGTCCCAATGATTTCATATGTTGATAATAAAATATTTTTATCTCTGTAATTTAAGCTCTCCTTATGCTACACTAGAGCCCATCAAAAATGGAGAATTATTGAATGATCAGTAATTGCACTAAAATTCTGATAGGCATATTCAGATACCTAGAGTCTATAATTTCTCTGCTGCCATGAACAAAACGCTGGCACTTCTGACAACTGTACAAAAATTACTTTAGCAAAAGTCTTGAGTACACAACAAATATTTTGATCTAGGTGTCTATAAAAGATACTTACTAAAAAGTATTTCTGTTGCTGAAATCCTACTACGAACATAATGGATAAAATTGGGGTTTGGGAAGACAGCACCAGGAAGAGAAAACACAGAGCATGTTTTGTCTTCAGAACATAGCTGTGTAACAATGAACTCTGCTCATTAGCTTCTCACAAAGAGCTATATAGAAAGCAGAGTTTATATTTTACTTTTCTCTAGTTTACTCCGAATTCTTGGGGCAAAGTAGAAGTACATACATAATGGAGGAGATAGTGGATATTTGAATAGTTATTTCAAGAGTGCTTCATCTGAAATTCATTTCCATTCTCTCTGGTGGCCACCTCTCTTCAAGGGGCCAGAGATGGTTCATTTAAAAATAGTTAGCATGTATTGAATTTTCATAATGATGGATTTTTACTGAAACTGAACTGAATTATTCATCTACTGTTTAACTTTTTCCACTTATTGACAATTTACCTCTCCTGATGTTCCAAGGGGTAGGGGAGGGTGGAACAGAGGAGAAAGAACTGTTTAAGCTTAAAAAGTGCTTTGTAGAGGACATAAGAAGATACTTCATCCATCAGCTTCCAAGAACAAATTAGATAAAAAATGTACTCCAATTAAGTTTAGGGATTATCAACATTTATTACTTCTCTATAACAGTACAAAGATGGTAATAGTGGTCATAATTCAAATTTATTTTCTAGAATTGGGAGGCCTGCCACCAAATAGCTCATCCAATATGATGTGACAATTAAAATTTAAAGTATTAAAATTATACCCCTCACTTCTCCAGCAATGAAAAATAATGAGATACCATGTGGACAGAAAAAGCTCATCTTATTTCAGTTTTTAAACATTACTTCACATTTGTAAGAGTCAAAGGAACCGAAAATTGTAACAAGTTGTATTTGATGTAATGGAAAAACTTTTTCTCTAATACAAGCAGACATTTGGTTCTTCTGATACAACAAATTGCCTCTCAGTTATTTGTCTTCTCAATGATACTATTTTAGAAGCAAATGTCTTAAACACCAGCAATTAACAAGAAATACTTTGGTCCTTGCTTTGAAATATGAAGTCCTGGACTTCAGAATATTAATAATCCCAGTTAATATCTCTAGAATGTTGATAATTCTAACCAGGATCACTCATTAAGACAGATTTCTAGTTAAAATGAAGATTTGGTTCTCTTTTTCCAAGCACTGCATTTTCTACCTCAGTACGATACTCGAAGGCATTAAAACATTTTTAGATTTCTCATCTGAAGAGGGAACACTACACACATAAAATGCTTTCCGTTGATTAACTTGACCTCAAAAGGAAATGGTACACTAAGTAAAGATGACAGAGATGACTGAAGTGTTCAACGGCTCTCCTATCTCTCAGTCTATCAAGAGATACTGGAAGGCAGAAGGCTGGGCCACCAGCAGCAGCTGAACCCTAGTCTATGTTCCCAGCATGGCTCCAGGGATATTATTATACAAAGAAAACTGGGGCTTAGAAAGTACGTTTTGAAACTGCGATTTCACTTATTGAGTACATCACATACGTCAATCTTCTAAAAAATAAACAATATTATGTTATGGCTTACTAATTCAGTTACATAAATGCAGAATTATCCCTCTACCTATAGACAAACTAATATTTCAATACACAACACCCATTTTTAATAACTTACATCAATGAAACTGCTGTTTCAAAGATCAAGAATGTCTCTATTATAGTAAAATAAATAACTGACAAGAAAAAATACTATTCCTCACATTCTTATTTGATTCAAGCAAAAGTAAAATAGGACCTGATAAAAAGCAGTTAAGAGAAACAATTTCAGTGTGTTTTTTTCCTTCAAGATCTGACTAGAAGGAGGTAGCATATCAAGTTGGGAAATGATCATAAATTATAGTAACCTTTTTACATTATGACGAAAAATTCTAAGGATGGTTGGCAAAATACCTCAGTTTCTAAGCCGTAATCTTTCTTCATGAGATATGCACTTTAAACTGATAAAATGGGTTGAAAATAGCTTATTGAAAATTCATGCATTAATCACCACTATAGGTAACCTACAGCAGTTTTATCAGAGTATGATTTGTTTTTGGGGCGAGAGAGGGGCAATAAAGTGTCCCAATAGACTTACTAGTCAACTAATTTAGTCAAATGACTTCCTGAAAAATCTGTACCTTTTAGTTTTCTCTGAAAGTAATTCAGAAAACAGTATATAGAAAGAAGAGGCTTTGAGCAAAAAATCAAGGATTTTTAATAAACAGATATGATTTAATTGCTTAGAAACAAACACCACAAATGATGATGCTGATGCAGATGTGAGGTGATTAAAAGGTGCCCACAGTCTTACCTAAGAGGTTTTACATTATGACAAGGAGATGGTTGTGAACTCGGGGAAACAGGATGGGATGAAGGAATCTTATATTCATCGTCATCTTCCTCTGCCGGCTCTCTTGTTTTCTCTGAAAGAGAATTTGCTAATGGACCAGTACACCTACCAGAGGGGAAAAAAAATCCAGTCTAGTGTAAGCATTGTAATTTAGAACAAGTCCAATATGACATACTCAAGTTAAAGAAGCTACGTTGTCATATGTATTCATTTTTCAATTACAGGGTAACATCAGAAGGGCTGTTCTTAAGCTAAGTACAAATGAAAGGATTTGCAATCTTCTGTTAAAACTCCATTGTTGAAATAAAAGAATTGTTATATTCAAAATTTTAAATGGCATGGTAAGAAAAACTAGTAAACCTGTCAAATGAAATGGTCTTGGAGTTGTAAGAGAAAATGCATAAAATTATTCAAAACAAAACTACTAAAATATTAACATTTTGTTCCAGTAAGTTAAGATATATATATATATAATCATATATGCATGGTAGGTTTTATATATTAATGAAGTTTTTACAGAAAGGTCAAACTTTCTGTCTCTTTTGAATATTGCCTATAGTTGAAAAAAATTCAGCTTAATTAAATGAAACAATTCTTCCTGTGAAGTCATAATTCTAATTGTTAATTTTTCCCCCCAAATACAACAAGAACTAAAAATGACTGAAAGAATTGGAAGTAGATAATGAGAGGACTGATTAAGTTGTTGAGGTACAGTACATTTATTTTTTCTGGCTTACATTCCCTCGCTAAGTAAGACGAACACCTAACATCAAAAGAAATGTTCAAGCATCCATGAGAGTAAATAAATAAAACAAAGCCAAGCAAACAAAAACCTACTATTTTTCATAGGTGGTGTTACTAGAGCTTAACCCTTGCCGATGCAAGAGAAAAATACCAAATTAGAAACGCACAACCCTATCAACTTTAGGACAACCAACCAGTTTACAAGACATTGGAGATACACATGGAGCCAGAGCTTTCAGTTAATCAACATGAACCTCATGACAAATCTATTTCATTAAATTAAAAAAAAAAAAAAAAAAATCTTTGTGACTGCAATTTTCAAGCACCTTCTGTAGAGGGAGCATGAGGCCTTTGGTACATCAGCCATCAAGCAAGCCTGAAATCACTTTTCCATTTTGATATCTTCCCACAGTTAGAATGAAAACAATTTTAAGGGCTTTCTTTGTGCCCATTACAAGACGAAATTTTGAAAAACCTTAAGGTTTTCAAATTTCAGTAACATAACTGAGTCTCTAGGAAGTTGAGAGATTAAAGAAACATTTCTTATAAGATTTTCAAAAGTGTATTTCACCCATTTTTGGAGACTTTTTCAGTGCCGATTTTGAATTCTTGTTTGAGCGACCTTGGAATTCAAATGACAGTTCACGGGGTGAAAGCACAGTGATGCTGTGGCAATGTCCACTGTCAGTGCCCAGAGCACAAGCTAATGACCTTATTAATAAACTAAGGATGAGCCCTTCCATGGTGTAACCTTGGCAAATGAACATTCTAAATGAAGGCCTGTGAGGAAATGGGCTGCAAAGCGATGACTCCATGGACCGGAGGAGGTATTCCAAACACTACCTTTCCACAAACTCTTATAAACAGGAATATGTTAATTTAGCTAACTCAAGGCCCAGAACGAGTGTTATTAGCAAATGAAATGAGAAAAATACATATCCTTTCTATGCCCTAATATACTTTCATTCGTAATGAAACTTGGTCCTATGCAATTCAAATATATACTGTATAAGAGAAAAAGACCTATTCGCCAAATATGCACCAACCGCATCAGCGTCAGGGATATTCTACCACCTGCCTGTTTCAGGTGACCTCCAAAGATTCCAGTTTCTAAACAAGCACTGCCTGGTGAGGCTACAAGAGATAACTTTGAAATCACATCTGCTGTGTCTGACTGTATTTTCCCTTCAGTGGTAAAGAATCTCACCCGGTAACTTGCCCCTACTCTTCCTCTTTGCTGCAGATCAGCAGAGGGAGTATTTCTGGAGGAATGGAGACCAAAGCCGGGAAGGCCAGGCGCACGACAGGGAGGGGCTACGGGAAACCCCTGCACCCTCTCCTCAATTTTGCACTCAGTCTAAAACTCCTCTAAAAAAATAAAGTCTTAATAATAAATGTGACGGAAGAGGAAGGTACGAGTAAGATAAAGAAGTTGAATACGAAACACGGAAAGAGAAATGTCAATTCACGCGGACCATCACAGTGCGTGTCATTGCACGTGGGCTCTTTTCCCCCCTCACAAACCCATCCAAGAAGCAGGTTCAATTTCAGCTGCAGCTAAACACGTGGCAGGATAATCAGCTTAAGAATATTCACTAGTTATCATGTACGTTCACTTTTGGCAGCGGAGAAAATATCTAAGTTTGGGACGTGGGCAAACCTGCAGTCGGTGCTTTGGCTCACGGGAGATCTTCAGGATTCCCAGGAGTAAAATGAGCAGTGCCGTTCGCCTGGTTCGCACTGAGGCTCCCGCAGGCCAGCCGACCGCTCACACCCGCCATCCAGCTCTGCAGGACCATCCTGCGTCCACGGGCGCCCTGCGCTGGGCCGTCGTCCCCGGGGCAGGGCACTGGGACTGCGCAGCCGGCCTCCCCGCACCTGCACCGTCACTCGCTGTGTGCCAGCTACCTGAGCCCTCAGCGAGGGACATGCATTTGTCATGCGCGCCTTTGACCTAACGCCGGTCTTAGGGAGTTTTACATTTTGAAACTGAAGGCTCGCAGGTGCTTTCCTCTACAGCATTCTGCATTCCTACTGTGAGGCATCCAGGTGGGGCGAAAGTAGGTTTACAGTTGTATGTGAAACGGAGTTTATGCTTGCATTATTACTTATTAGTTATTGTGTTATTTTCCACACGAATAACTGTGAACCTTCTTCTGCCCAACTTGTATACTCTGAGGGGTGACCCTCTACGTATCCCATTGGCTTCACCTATATAACATCCTCCAAACATCACCCTACCAGTTCTTTATTTGAGCAATTCTTTTATTTACTGGGGTGACATTGGTTAATAAAATTACATAGGTTTCAGTTGAACAATTCTTAATACCTCAGTCCACCAGCTTTTCCAGAAGAAAAAAAAAGCAAAGTAGAAACTTCCAGCTTTATTTTCTCTACATGAATCGCTGTGACATTGTCCCATGACACAACCATGTCCGTTCTATTGTGTGTATTCAGTGTATGCTTGTCCACTGACATTGTATTTTTTATATATTCATCTATGTCTCACTTTTATTTCTGTCGTGAATTGCAAAATACTTAAGGGTAGACCATGAGTCAACAAAGGCCTGCCATGGTATGTGTCCGGGCGAGAGCCCACTAGCTTTTAGAGGAAAATAATGAGTGCTTATTAGAGAAATACATGGCCAAGCAGTTAAGGGAAAGAGAACGATCATTTTTAGGATCCTTTCATAACCTAGAAAAGCATTTTAAATATATTACTTTGCTTGTTTTCAACACTTAAGTTTCTTTATTTAAGAATATCTGAAAAGAGGGTATTAAAGAATATTTTATTAAAACAGAATCTTTAGAACCTTCAATGGATATTAGTCTATCTTTTTTTGTAGCTATCCCAGTCCTAACAGAGGAAACACCTAACTCGGAGAAATCACAGTCCAGAGAAGTGGTAACACAAATAGAGCTGTATGTGAAATGATTGCACATGAGCCACATGTAAGTCATCTCCCCAATATATCAGAGTGAGGCGTGTAATATATGTACTGATTTTGAGGGTTCTTTCATGACATCAAGGAAAGTTAATGTGGTATATTATTAGGTTTAATAATATATTTTAATCATAAGCATTTTCACTGACTTGTTTTTAAATTGGAGAATCAAATTTCATGTTACATTTTTAAATTTACTTATTCAGGAACAGTATTATTTCTAACACCTTTAGGGGCTTGTGTTAGCAATCAAAAAGATAAATGCCAAGGAAACTTATACCTTTCTTGAGAATCTAATTTTCCAATACACATCAAACGTTAAAGACTTCATGATGATATTTAAAGTGGCATTAGTTGCAATAGCCAAAAAATGGGAACTGTCCTAATGTTCCTCAGTGGAGGTGTGTTTTCCATGAAATACTTACTCTGAGCAATAAAGTGAACAAACTATAGATACACCCGACAGCATGGATAAATCTCAGATGCATCACCCTCACGAGAAAGAAGCCAGATTCAAAAGGCTGCATACTGTATGATTCTACTTATATGACCTCCTGGGGAAAAAACAACTCTGTGAACATAAATCAGATTGGTAATGTCCAGGAGTTTGGGTGAGAAGAGAAATTCACACAAGATGGGGATGTTTACTGAGTGATGAGTTCTATATCTTGATTGTGGTGGCAATTACATGACTATGCATTTGTTAAAACTCACAAAATTGTACATTAAACAGGGTGAGTTTTATGGTGTATAAATTATGCTTTAACAACTGGATGTTTATTTTAAAATTTAAAACTTATTTTAACTCATTTAAGATATTGCCCATAAACATCTTTCACAAACAAATATGCCTTCAAAACCTTATTTAATTCTAGTTTGAGCCTACAGAGAAATGTTACATAAACATAAATGCTTGAATGTGGAGGAATATGTGAAGATGCCCTTAATATGAAAATAAAATTACTTTCTTCTAAGCCTACACATTTTCTATCAATTGGATCAATATGTTCATGGAGAGATGGAGAATATATGGTAGGTATGTGCCTCTGTGGGACAAGAGAGGGACACTGTAAGGAATATAATTTAGATTGCATCTTTAAATAGAATCCAGTGGCTCACGTGTCTGTCTAAGGCTACCTAGTTATTTGTGATCATAAATTACAGGTAACAGATTTGTCAGACTTCTGGGATTAATGTTAAAATCAGTTCCCATCATAGCTTTTAGTCAGAGAAAAGGAAAGATTAGTGGAATTAGTGGCATTCCCCCACCCAGATTATAGCCATCCTCCAAATGTCATTTTCCTACAAAAGAAGAGGGGGGGATAACAATTCTATCTGAACTTAGAAATTATAATACTAAAATAAAAAGAAGTATAATGCCCATAATTATTTTGTACCCTTTCCACACACTACTAG